TGTACCCTTTGTGTAGAAAAGTGTAGTCAACAGACGTTTCAGGTTGAAAACAACTCCCTATCATCTATTTCTATTGATATCAGATTCAGAATCAGATGAAACTGTATCAAGAGTCTCTGTTGAATTAGGTACAGGTACATCAGGTCTATAAGCAACAGGTCTTATAGCAGATTGAAGGTTCGGATAAGAAATTTCCTTTTTATTTCGAGAGTTGTAGCTTTGCAAGTTACATGAGCAAAAATAACAGTCACCTCTGTGGTTTCTAAGATCACGCCAGAACACTGGAATTCTAAAAGGCAAAGACTTTTTCTTACCTTTAGTCCATTGTTTCAACTCTTCGACACAAACTGTGCAAACTTTGTGCGGGGCCTATGATTTATCTTGGTCATCAAGTTTTATTCCAAAATACGCATAATACGCTTTTTTGACGAATTCTGTAATGTTTTGCCTTTGTTTCTTTACAGCAAATTTACCACAAATATAACAGAATATTTTTGGGTCATTTACACAACCTCTTGTTGCCATAGCGACAAATAAATAATATTGAGAAGAAAAAATAATGTCAAAGTGCACGCACAAACAAATACTATCCAGAAATAACACGTCATGCAGCCTGTTAACTATTTATATACTAGTAAGTATAACAAAATGTGATCCGATTTCAATGAAAATGATTAACTTATGTAAAAGTACATATGACGTTCTGTGAAAAATCTGTATCGGATGGAGAAAACATTACACTGTACCATGCAGCCTGTTAACCATTTATATACTAGTGGTGTGTTTCTCGTTGGTTCTAGAACGTTCGATAAGACTCTCACGTCGCGATTGGTCTAGCGAAATGTATAGAGAGTGGTTGTCAACATTTTAAGTATAACAAAATGTGACCCCGATTTCAATGAAAATGATTCACTTATGTAAAAGTACATATGACGTTTTGTGAAAAATCTGTATATGATGCAGAAAAACATTACACTGTACCACGCTCAGTCCATTTAATAAAATAATTTGTTAAAAAAAAAAGAAGGCTCAGAGCTTAACCCAGTGAAGGTCATCAGCTTTGTTTTAAACACACTTTCTAAACTTATTGTGGAGAACGTCTTGGAGAACTATTCAACTTAAGTATCACGGATGGAAAATGTGACGATTCGAAATACTTTTTACTTCAGCACGATGAAACCATCTCTAAAGAGACACTCAGTCCTGGAAATCAACAGTTTGTGGCTACCATAAATCAATTCATCACTATTTCCAAAAACCACGTTACAAGAACCACCAACCAATCACATCACATGCACCCCAATTTTCCGATTTAGCATATAAATCCATGTAAAACCGCTGTAAGCTGAACTGAAGACGAAAGATGGAAGCCTAGCTGTTGACATAGAGACTAATAATACAGAATAATAACACATAAAAAGGAATTAATGTCACATAACTATTATAATTTAAC